GAATTCTACACCTAGCAGAAATACTCTTCAGAAATGAAGAGGAGATAAAGCATTTTTCAAATATCCCTCCCTTAAAAATTTTACTAGGAGAATTACCAGGAGACTCACACTAAATGAAATTCTAAACAATATTGTTCAAGCAGAAGGAAAATATCACAGAGTCAGGAAGAAATAAAGAGTAAAAATAGTAGAAAATATGTGGGTAAATCAAATGACTGTAGACTTTATTAAACAATACTAAGACGTTTTGTTGGATTTAAAAGACAAAATTTAAATATATGATGAGTACTTGGCAGTGGGACAAATAAAGGGTATGAGGGCTATATATTACCTGGGAAGAGGGGAAAAGTACCTGTTAACACTATACTTTGATAAGTAAGAGATGCATGTTGTAATTGCTAGGGTAACCTGTAAGAAAATAGGTTTCTTTTTTTTTTAAGTATATCACTTATAAGTTACAGAAAAAAATGAAGTGATAAAAAATAACTCAAAAGGCAAGCAAGGTGGGAAGTTTCATAGAACAAATAGAATAAATTATGATAGATATATCAGTAATTTTATTAAATATAAATGGATAAAAAACATTGTCAGGTAGAATGTTCTTAAAAACTATAGTCTTTTATAGGAAACAGATTTAAAGCATAAGGAAAATGAAAAAAGAATAAATATATAATGCAAACACTAGCCAAACAAAACTGTTGTAGATAAAATAATATCACTGATGCCTCTAAAAAATAAGATGTAATACTTTTAAGTTTGCATACAATTAATAACATTAACAATGTGCTAATAACATTAATAATATATAAAGCAAAATTTAACAGTACAATGAGAAATAGAAACATATTTAAACAAGAAGAAAATTTGAGGGATGCATTAAAAAGGGTTGGCTGATCAAGTTGACACTGAGTAATCCTTCAGAACTAGATGAATTAATGAGTGAAGAAGCCCATGAGAAAAACAGATAATCTATTGAGGAGTGAAAATGGAAGCCCTAAATAAACTAGTATGAAACAACTAAATCTAGCATAGTTGTCTTAAATCAGGGGTGGATAGAAAACTAAATAGCAACTTTTAGCAGTACCAGTAGAAGAAGAAACTGCTTGCAACAGTGCTGCGGGAAGAAAATACCCCTTAACTTCCTAATGATTGCAGGCAAACCCAATATGCATCTTTTCCAGAATACCCTATGAATTTTAGGTCAGGCTACAGTTACAGTATTCAGAGTTGCTAAAATTATCTGTAAAAACTAGGTATAAAAATTATGCAATTCAAGGATAACATTGCCATTTTAAGCCTTATATGATATAACTTGCTTATACCCATCCCTGGAGTTGGGTCAAAATACTTAATGATCTTTCCATTGGGAATACCTGACAGTGGAGAAAAGTTTTTGTTGTATATTCTCAAATGAAGAACAATACTATGTTTTTTCTTTTTTTTATTGAAGTATCATTGATACACAGTCTTATATTGGATTCGAGGAAATAGCACAGTCATTCAACAGTTATCCATATTATTAAATCCTTACCCCCACTAGTGCAGTTACTGTCTGTCAACATAGGAAGATGTTACAGAACCATTGACTTTATTCTCCATGCTGTTTACCATCCCCATGACCAGCTTATATTATGATTGAGAATTTTAGTGCCCCTTTATCCTCCTCACCCTCCACCCCAACCCCTCCTCAGTGGTAACCACTAGTCACTTCTCAGTGTCTATGAGTTTACTGCTGTTTTAAGAACAATACTACCTAAATTTTGCAATATACAGTGTTTACTGGTGCTATTTTTATATAGCGAAGCAACCTTAACAGAGAAATAAGAACAGTTTAAAAATAAAAAATCCAATATCTTCATTAAAAACAAACCTAGGGAACATCATACAGTGAGATGTTGAAACTTCCTTAGTGATTGGGAACAGACAAGAACGGCAGCTATCAGTACCTCTATACAGTAGTGTATTGGAAGTAAGAAATACAAGGTATAAGATCATGAAGGAAGAAACAAAACTACCATCATTTATAGATGATAGGATTATGTACCGAAGAGCCTACAGATTATTAGATTAATTATTAATTATATTAGCATATAATTATGTTTATAGTATATAATTGTTAATTATAGCTATTAGGTTAACTATTAATTTAAAAGAGTGTGTAGATTAGTTCTTAGAATGAGCAAGTGCAGTAGCAGAGCTACTGGATACAAGTTAATAAGGAAAACTAATTTGTGTTTCTATTTGCCAGCAATAACAAAATGAAACTTTTAAAAAGATGTCATTTATAATATCATCCCTAGCAATAAATCTAACAAATGGTGTGTGAAACCTCTAAGCAACAAACTATAAAACATTATTAGAGATATTAAAAGGGATCCAAACAAACAGAAAAATACCACGTTCGCTGATGATTAGAAGACTTGCTATTGTAAAGATAAAAATTATTCCCAGATCTATGGATTCAATACAAAGTCAAATATTAACAGACAAGTGATTCTAAAATTCATATGGAAATTGCTTAAGTGTTGAGGAAGAACAGAGTTGGAGGACTTGTTCTATATATCACGATTTACTGTAAAGCTAGAGTGATTAGAATTATTAGTGCATGGGCAGACCAGAATTGAAAAAGAATAGAGAATCCAGAAATAAGATCCACACGTTTATGGATACCTGATTTACACCAGAGGTGGCACTGCAGACTCAGAGGAAAATTTATTTTTAACAAATGGTTTGGGGATCCCTATTTGAGAAAAAAATTAGACCTGACCCCTATTATACTCCAAACACAAAAATAAATTCCAAATGGATTTCAAATATGAAAGGCAAAACAGGAAAGCTTCTAGTATTTATAATACAGAACATCTTCATGACCATGAGGTAGAAGAAAATTTCTTAAACAGGACCCAAAAAGTACTAGCCATGTAGGAAACTATTAATAAATCAGGCATTAAAAAAGTAAGAACTTGTATTTATCAAAAAATTATGAAGAGTGTGAAAAGACAACTACAGAGTGGGAGAAGATATTTGCAATACAGCCAACAAAGGGCTCATTTGCAGAATATGTAAAGAGCTACAGATCAGTTAGGTGAGAATTGAACAAGTACTTCACAAAAGTATGATCTGTAAAAATATGAAAAGATATCCAACCAGTTCAGTAATTTGCAAATGTAAATTAATACTATAGTAGATGATCCTATACATCCACCATATTGGCCAGGATATATAGCAATAGGAATGCTCATACACTGAAGTATAAATTGGTATCTACTTTAGTAGATAATGCCGAACTGTTATCTTAAGTTGAACATATATGTACCCTGTAACTGAGCATTCTCATTCTAGGAATATACTTAACAGAAATATATGCAGCAAAGAGAAATGCACAGGTATATTTATAGCAGCCTAATTCACAATAGCCAAAAATTGGAATCAGCTCAAATGACCAATGATGGTAAAAAATGGAATAAATAAATGGTGGCATATTTGTAAAATGGAATTATATACAGTAATGACAATGAACTACAACAGGGAAAACGTGGATGAATCTTACAAAAATAATGTTGAGCAAGAAAAGCTATCCACAAACCTGCATACTTGATTGTTCCAGTTACATAAAGTTGTAAAGTCATGAAACCTGTAGTGCTTGTGGATACATGCTAACATGGTAAAACTCTAAAAAACAGCAAGAAAGTGATTTTTAGAGAAGTCAAGAGAATTATTTTCTTTGAGAAGAAAGGGAATGTAATTGTTAGGAGGGGCACCAGGGGGGTATCTGGGAGTGCTGGCAAGGTTCTATTTATTGACGTGAGTGGTGGTTATATAGCCATTTGCTTTTTAATAAGTCATGGAGTTATATTTTTTGTGTACTTTTCTGTATGTTTGTCACACTTCACAGTAAAAAAGGTTTAAAAGGTTAGAAGCCTAAAAACAGATTTTTGTAGGATTTTTTTGGAAGCTGGAGAACAAATGAATATATATTGTTGACTTGGCTGTTTCATGGGAGCCAAAGCCCCCCACTGAATAATGGGGAGTGCTGAGTGCTAGCCCACAATCCTTATGGGCATAGGAATTGGTAGCACCAGTTGCTAGAACTGAGGCCTGGATTAGAGGGCAAGAAGGAGAAGGACACTGAGCTAAAATAAATAGACTAGGTGAAAGCTGGTTGGAAGGCTGTTAAAATCCTAGTGGCCACCGGACAACTACCTCTTCTCCAAGTCTGTAGACTGATCTCTAAAAAGTACAAACCAAAGAATTTCTGGACTGGGGATGCAATTTAGGGCATCAATACCTTGTCAAAAACAGGTGAATTAAGTGGCCATATGCAAAGTCAATACTGATTCAGAGAATCCCCTAACAAAGGCCCACCTTGATCACTCTATGTAAACTACAAATCAACAGTCCACCCACCAACTCTGAAAGCTTTTTGGTTCCTTATTCTTAATCGTGAGCAAACATCAGCAGTTACCCCAGATACCTCAGGGAAGTCTCTAAGAGAGACAAGAACAGAAACAGCAAAACGCAATGTGAATGAGCTTGAGAGTCTGAAGCAAACACGTAACTTAAAAAAGGAAAAACTTTAATCTCCAGAAAGATATGGGAAGATACTGAGTCGGTTAAACGACAACAGTGCTGTTAGGGATTTGTAAGCTGTTCTGTCCTTTGTTTTTGTTCCTTGTTTCCAGCATCATTTGTTTCACAAATAATATCTTTCTTTGTCTAATTTTATTTTCATGATCTGTGGGGATTCAGTGTGCTGGATAATAATAGATGTGGATTAATGTAAAACTATGAACTTTTTAAGAAATGAAAAAACTACTGATAAGACATCTGTAACTTAATATTCTATCATGATACCAAGGGTGTCTCTTCTGAGCTGATAATGTTTGCTTCTCTCATTGTGTTTCACTTTGGTTTTTTTCTCTCTTCCATGTAAACTTAAATTTCTCTTCCCACATTTCTATCTTCATCTCCTTGTTTCTTGGTGTCTCTTCTTCCTGAAGATCACTACATTTCAAGCTATCAGAAAGGTATCCGACTAAAATGTGCTAAGAGCTTACTACTCGCTGTCTGTCCCACCACTCTGTTAATCATAGACTTGTTTAGTTGTAGTTGGATAATTTTAGACAGGCTCTCCATCCTCCCTTTCCGTTTTAATGCATATGTTTTCTCTGGACCTGCTATGTGATCCTGCAGGATATTGAGAGCTGGTTGGGGGTTGGGGTGAGGAAGGGGAGGCCACGTTTTTTGTTCTGACTTTTGAATGCAGCCACCTGGTGCATGTCTGGACCTTGGCTTCTCGCCTGTGAGCTGTATCCTGACTCTTAGATTTAAAAAAGGCCACAGTCTTGTGTTGACTTCTTGATGTTGCCTTACAAAATACCTTACCTATCATCATCATTTGCACTGCACAGTTGTGTATGATAGGAAATAACTCACCAGTTTGTGACTAAGTGAGGATTACAGAATGAAAGCAGCCCTCAGTAAGTTCCAGAAAGATAGCTATGCGTTGTGTTGACATGCAGAAGACAACTGCTCAGATCATCACTTGCCCTTGGCAGGCCAAACCCTGCATCCTAAGGTGGCCCCCAGCATTCTCAAAAGGGATCTTTGCTGTAGCAGCTGTCTTTGTTTATATCTGTGCATCTCATTCTTCTCTGTGTTCTGCATTTCAGAACCGCAAGTAAGTTCCTACCTCTCATAGATCTGCCCAGTCTGTCTTTTTTGTGGCCCCTCCATTTTTTACTTCATCTTTTTTTTTCCCCTCTTCCGGATTATTTTTCTCCTGCTCCTCAGTACTTCCTGGGATTTTTGTTTGCTTAAAGTTTATTTCTTTTTTTTAAAACAACAGTTTCTTGAACTTAAAGATAATTCATCCTGCATTTTTTAGAGCTTACCTGGTGACACATTCCTTTAACTCACTTATTCTTTGTATTCTCTAAGGAGGCACCACAGTTCGAAAGGAAATCATCAAGAATAAAATCAGAGCCATTGGGAAGATGGCGCGGGTCTTTTCAATTCTGCGGTAAGGAGAAGTCTGTCATTACATAGCATTTTGAGAGTAAGTTAGGAGTTGACTTCAGAACAGTTTTTTAGAATGGAATTTGATATGAGAACTGTAGGGCCTTAGGCTGAGTGCAGGTTGAGTCAGACCTACATGTTACAGTGACTAGAAATGTTCTGGCAAACATTCACTTGGTACAAGCTTACATGTAGTAAATATAGTAGTAGCTTAGTGTGTATTCTGGAGCCATATGCCTGTGTTCCCATCCTGGCTCCACCTCTTCTTAGCTATGTGATCTTGTGCCTCATTTTCCTTGTCTGCAAAAGAGTGATAATAACAGGATTTGCCTTACACAGTTATTAGGAAAATGAAATGTGATAATATATGGGGAACATTAGAACAGCACCTGGCTATTAAGTGCCTCTAGTTGAAAACCAAGACCTGGCTGATTGTTTAAAATTGGAATATTTACAGGAAACATCCCTCTCTTTGGGTCAAGGAAAAGTTAGAAGGAGAACCTGGCCATCTCTCTCTGCATCTTTTCTTAACTCCTTCAAGTATCTTTGCATTGCTGAGTGGTAGACGCCCTGGAATTAACCCAGGGCTTTGACCTTCCTTTGCAGGGAAGAGAGTGAGAGTGTGCTGACCCTCAAGGGCCTGACTCCTACGGGTACACTCCCTCTGGGGGTCCTCTCAGGAGGAAAACAGACCATTGAGACGGGTGAGTGTGTGAACGCTTCTTTCATGGAAAGCATGCTCCCATTACCTAGCAGTGAGTGTAAATTAAAAATTGGGGCTTCTTTCAATAAATGGTACCAGAGCAATTGGATTTCCATCTGGGGAAAACAATGAATCTTGACCCTTCTCTCCATACACAAAAAATTAATTAAAAAAGAATTATAACTTAAATATAAAAGGTAAAACCATAAAGTACAGAAGTAGGCATTGGGGTAGATAATCAAGTCTTCAATGGGACATAAAAAAATACTAATTAGAACTTGTAATCATTCAGAAGAAAAAAATTAATAAATTATTTTTTATTTAAAGATTTTTAACTGAGAGATTTTTGCAGTATATATGTCTGACATTAACTCAGAGATTTTTGCAGTATATATGTCTGACAAAGGACTTGTATTCAAAATATATAAAGAACTACAACTCATTAAGAAAAACACAACCAATTTTTCATAAATGGCCAAAAGATTTTTTAACAGGCACTTCACAAAAGAGGGTATCAGAATGGCCAATGAGCATATGAAAAGGTGCTTTAATGGAGTTACTCATCTGCAAAATGGATATCAAAACCACAGTGATATACCACCATATACTCACTAGGATGGCTAGAACTCTGACAGTACCAAGTGTTGGTGAGTTTATAGAGAACTGGGACTAGATACATTGCTAGTGGCCTTATAAACTGGTTCAGCTACTTTGGAAAACTACTGGGCAGTAAAGCAAAATACATGTCTACCCTATAACCCATCATTCCACACCTGGTATCTATTGAAGAGAAATTAGTGCATATGTCCACCAAAGGGTGTGTGTGCATAAGAATGCTCACCTTAGTTTTATTCATAATGGTCCAAAATGGGAAGCAACCCAAATGTCCATCAATAGGAGAATAGATAAATAAATTATGTTATATTTATACTGTAGAATACTGCATAGCAATTAAAATAACATTATGAATACATGCCAAAACATGATTGAATCTCATAGCATTACGGTAACTAAAAAAACAAAACACGCAAGAGCATAGACTGATTTATATGACATTCGAGACCAGGCGGACTAGTCAATGGTAGTACAAGTCAGAATGGTGCTTCCTCTAGGGGGAGAATACTGACCCAGAAGGGGCACAGGAAACTTCTGGAGTAATGAGGATGTTCTGTATCACCATCTGGCTGGAAGTAGTTACACAAATGTATACCTATGTAAACATGTGTTGAGCTACACACTTCAGATTTGTGCACATTATAGACCTCCCTTGTGTATGTTTTATACCTGCTTCTTTTGGTTGGAGTTTCTCAATCAGAGGGGGAGTTTGCCTCTGCCTGCAAAGCGTATTCTATTCCAGCGCCACAGTCATCTCTTCAATCAGAGTGTCAGTTCTAAAAATTGTAGGAGCACTGACTTCTAAGAAAGGGCTTTATGGAAGCCTGGAATGAAAAGATCGGTGTTTGTCAGAATAAACGCAGATCTGGTCAAGCAAGGGGAAGACACATGAGAGCACATCATTGGATGACTAATCTCAGGCATGAAAACTGGAGCTGGGAATGCTAACAACTTAAACTAGAGTTTCACTGCTTTTTTGCCCCTTCATCTTACTGAAGTGGCTAAGTTTTTCTTTATCCTTGTCATCCTGCCACTTACAGGAATCCTTTGCTTTTTGTGGAAAATTTACTGTTGTTGATTAATAGGACCAATCCGTTTTTCCCCTCCTCCCTTTTGTAGGATTGAATGCCTCCCTCTCTTTCAAATTGAATACTAGAATATTAAAGTTCAGCTATTGAGAAGAAAAATGAACATTTTCTTCTTGGAAGCATATAATTTATTTTCTTAATTTCTGTAGTTTCATGGCAAAGATCAGTAAACTATTTCAGATTGAATTTTTTCTCCCAAATTGCAGTTTCTCATAAGCAAAATATTTTTCCACCATGGTAACTAGTCTTTGTGAAATATTCTGAGGGCAACTCTGACAGGCAATTTGAAGAGTTAATAGGAAGTAACATGGGCAAAGAAGAAAAGGGGATGTACTGTAATATCCTTACTTAAAAAGTTTTGAAAACTTGCTGATCCACAAAATTGTTGTGTTAATCTGAACCAGTTTTTCCTAGACCTTCAAAGAGAAAATCTGCAAATCTGCAAATCTTGGATAAGTAACAGAATTTTACAGATGTGTTAGAGGTTTGTTTGTTTATCCTTGGTCTACCTTTTATTCTCAGTCCCCAAATATATCCAGTTTCTCTTCATTCCTAATTTGAATGAGTGTTTTAATGAACATAGCATTGTTTATTAATACTTCTGAAATTGATAGAAATCTTTAGGAATGTATAAGAACAAAACTAAAGTTGGAGCCAACTTCCTACAGCTTCTTATTCTCTTACTGATGGACAGAAACTGAGTTTATTTTGTCATTTCCCCATCAGAGTCTCAGTTAGACAGGCTCATTGGCAAATTGGAGCATTAGCTCAAAAAGATCTTTTATTATGCATATAACTTTACTTGGAAAGCTTTCAACCACCAGTATCCTGTATGGCTTTATAGCATACATTCACTTATGCTCCACCTTGTTCCAAGAGAGATTTTAGTATGCATACAGCATAGTCAAGTACAATAAATATACTTGGAAATTGGAGCAGAGAGGAAAACAAAAAATTTGTTTCCATGCTTCCTAATAGCAAAATAAGGAGGAAAGCCAAGAACTGAACAAGATTCACAAAGACCCTAAGTTAAAAAAAATGGATCAGTTATAAATTAGACATCAAAATTAAAAATTTTTGTACTGCAAATGGAACCATCAATAAAGTAAAAAGATCATACAGAAGATGGGTGAAAATATCTACAAATTACACATCTAATAAGGGACTCATACCAGAAAATACAAAGAGCTCTTACAACTGAATAATGAAAAGACAACTCAATCAAAAATAGGCAATAATTTGAATAGATATTTTTCCAAAGAAGATATACAAATGGTCAATAAACATGTGGAAAGATGTTCAGCATCATTAGACATTAAAAAAATACAAATCAGAACCATAATGAAATACCTCTTTATGCCCATTAGGATGGCTATGATTGAAGAGACAGATAATAACAAATGTTGGTGAAGATATGGAGAAAGGATGCTGATAACATTGCTTATAGGGATATAAAATGGTCCAGCACTTTGGGAACCAATCTGGCAGTTCCTTAGATGATTAAACATTCAGTTAATCATATGACCAGCAGTTCCACTCCTAGTTATATGTCCCAAAGTAATGAAATCTGCACCACACAAAAACTTGTGCACAGTGTTCATAACAGCGTTCTTTATAACAGCCAGTAAGTGGAAACAATCCGTGTGTCCATCACCTGATGAGTGCATGAATAAAATGTGCTGTAGCCATGCAGTGAAATACTATACAGTCATCAAAAGGAATGGAATACTGGTTTATGCTTCAACATGAATAAACCTTGAAAATATGCTAAGTGAAGGAAGCCAGTCACTAAAATCTTATGCTGTATGATTCCATTTATATGAAGTGGAAACATTTATATGAAAAGAAAGCAGACAAATCTACAGAGACAGAAAGTAGATTAGTGACTGACTCCAGAGTTCAGATAGAGGGATGAGGGAGGGAATGGGTTTCTTTATGAGGTGATGACACGTTCTGGCCATAGATTGTGGTGATGGTCACACAGCTCTAAATAAACCAAATCATTGAACTGTACACTAAAGTGAATTTTATGGCATATGAATTATATATAAGTAAAGAAGTATATATCTAAGTAAAGAAAAGAACAGTCTCTCAGTTTTATATGACTGATTCTTATAATGTCCCGCAGTACAGGCTGGTATCTTACTACCCAATGCAAAAAGCAACTCTAAGGAGACCCAGACCAATTTAATATTAGTACACGCTTTAACCATACTTTTAAACTCTAGTTAGACCTACACTTTGTACAATTTCAGGTAGTGCTTTTTTTCTTCCACTTCCTAACAGTTACATCAGTGATGTACTGGTTTAAGACTCTATTGTTTTCTTGTGAAGATTTATTTGTTGTGTTTTGAGAGATTAGAGAGGGTATGACATTGCTTTATAACATGCCTGCATATGGTCGACAAATGTAAGCACTTAATCGGTTGATTCCAAGTCTCCATTTTGCACGTTGCATTAGGAAGTGAACTTTCAGTACTTCTAGTTTCTCCTTTCTTACTGATATATAAAGCCTCAGGAACAGCACATTCTTTCTGTTCACTGTTCTTCCCTGCCTTCTTTAAAAAAGATGGTACTAGAGGAACTGACAGGGTTCTCCTAATAAGATCTTTCTTGCTATAACCTGTAACCTCTTAGGGTATTAGGGCTTTTACCATATTAAAAAGAAGATGCAAGAAAGTTTAACTCTTGGTAGTAATTTTTAAATTGCTTCCGTTTCCCTCTATGAAGGAGAAGAAGCCTTCTTAGCAATTGGCCTGCTCTCTTGCAGTGATTGGAAGTCATGTAGGTTGGAAATGTCAGCCTCTGCTCTGTCTCTAATCCCAGATGGTACATAAATTTGTATCTCAAATTTAATAGTTTTATGCCTTAGCCATCTTAGTACTCCACCTCTGGCCAAGAAATAACCCCTCACTTATAACCCATTTTTCTCTCCTTACAAATGCCAGTCTGTTATTCAAAGGCCACTCTTTTTCATTATGTAATTAAGAAGGACAGTTGGATCCCATGTAAGTTGTTTGAGAGTAATACAAAGTAGTTTTAAATGCCTTTTTTGAATAGGACCCAGCAGCAGCTCATTTAATATCATCTGAGCTACTACAAACTAAAAAATAGTTTTGTAGTGTTAAATTGACTGGACCAGTTACTTTGGTAGGTAAATGTCAAGACATAAATGAGCAGTCGGCTATTTAAAATGAAGAAAGCACTGTAACTCTTGCTTCCTTATAGTCAGCCTGACTGATCCCATTGTCTTAACTGTAGATGCTGGTAGGCAAAAAGTTTCCATCCCACATGAAACCTTAAAAGTATTAGAAACGCTCCCCACTCATATTCCCACCCAATTTAGTTTTTTGCAGTAACCCTCTGCCTCCTCTAACTAGTTGACTTTTATTACAGATGGAAATAGGCTGAAAGGCAGGTGCCTGGGATGTCTGTGCTGGCAGCAGTGCTGTTGGTTTATCACTCTATTTCTGTCTTCATTTTTGCATGCCACTGCTCCTGCCTCTTACAGCCACAGTACAAGCGGTAGAGGCCCGGGAAGGTATGGCCATATTCCTATGATAGATGTGATCATGTGTCTGTCTACTAGCTTTAAAAAGCTTTGTCAACATTTGAAACCTTTTATTATTGCATCACCAGAACTGTAACAGTGAGAAAAGGAATAGATATTTCTAGTTGTACTCCCAAAGTGTTTCCTTTGTATCTTGTATTTGTATTAATTTAAATGACCCTAAAGTTCGCAGCTGAAGTCCTTTCTGGGCTCCATCAGTTCTGATACATGGCTGAAGTTTAAGTAACGAGTCATGAGGTTTCAAGTGGTTGAGTCCTATAGCTCTTCCGTATATCAAAAACATCCATTTGATTCCTAGAGGTCCTAACAGGCCAGCCTCTTTACCTAATAATTCTAAAGGATATCAAGAGCTGAAGCAAAAGTAGACAGGACTCAGTGTGATTCATTTCTGAGGTGATCAAGCTGAATTACCTTTGTCTTTGTGACAACATATTTTAAGTAAATTACCTGTGAATCTGAGGGTGAAACTATTGAAACTGATAAACTTGTATTATAAATTTGTTGGGTAAGGTGGTTCAAAATAGGAATGCTTTTTCCTGGATGATACAAAAGTTCCATCAGGAAGAAAATATCTAGAAGCTAGTTTTTAGATGGCTTTTAACTTATGTTCAGCTCCTGGTTGTGCAAGATAAAAAGCTGTCCTTTTAAACGAAAAGATGAGTTCTTTTGTTACTTTTTTGTGGTCAAGGTGATGTTTGTGCTGGAGTAACTGTTCTGTCCGGCTTGCTCTATCATTCTAGTTTTGCCTTTTTTCTCCCACAGTGAGCACGTTTCTGGCCCTTAAGAAATTCTTTCTCAAATGTACTGGGGCTAAGTAAGAGCTTGTTATCTTTTTGTCAGGTATACTTATGCTGAGATCAATTGTGTTGAGCTATGAAAGTTACTTTCACAGTTTCAGCTGCCCTTTGGGCCTTTAAGGGAACAGTAGCTTCAGACAAGTCTAATTCAAATAAAATATTGCCTATAACCTTCACCAGACATGTGCTCCGCAGCCACCCTTCTGTGGTTTTGCTCTGGGTGGGGGCCTGCTGTATGCTAAGAAATGTTAAGCTTGTCGCTTTGCTGTCTAATTGATCTCCACCCTTTCCTGTTTTTCTGTAGCAATCAGAGGGTTTTCACTTCAGCACAGGATCCGGAGTTTTGAAGAAGCCCGAGGTCTGGACCGAATCAATGAGCGGATGCCACCCCGAAAAGATAGCCAGTACCCTGATGGGCCAGTGACATTGGTGACCCCTGTACACCCACACACTGCACACAGGAGTGACAAGGGGAGAAAAGCCAGTCGTGACTCAGAGTCCTGCTGTGGCACAGGTGGATCCAAGACTTAAGAACACATTTTATTTATTTATTATTGGAAAACAAAACAGAAACAGCTTAAACAACTTAAACTTGGAGGTGCATTCATAATATACTCTAAGAAAGGTGACCATTTTATAAATTCTTTTAATTTATGTTTAATATATATAAAAAGTACATCTGCTTTGTTTTTCCCTAATTTTTAGGGACTGATCTGATTGATACACATGTGAAGTCTTGTGCGATCAAGGGGGCCTTCCCCTAATAAAAGGGCCTTGGAGACCTCCCTGCTGGGTTTCTGACTCACACTAGCCAGCCTTTTGTCTTGTTTCTAGAAGGTAATCTATTTCTGAAAACTAATAACTTTTCAAATGCATGAGGGTTTTTTCTTTTCCCTTCCTTTCTACAGAGTGTCATTGAAGATCTCTTAGATTTCAGTGGCGAAACTTCTTAAGGAAAACTTGGTTATAGTAGAACTTCTAAGTAAATAACCAAACCCTGTGATTTTAAGGGCTAAGGCGAATGTTTTCCTTAATAACCTACATTCTTCTGGACTCTCAATTCCTTTTAATATGTTCTAGTAAGACAAAATAAAAAATAATGAGGGATTTTCTTAGAATTACTCAAAATTTGTTTATCTAACCATGGACACGATTGGTTTTAACTTCTCTTAGAATTTTGGGGGTTTTGTAACTGTTGCCAGCTCCTTTTGTTACCATTTTTGAACCCCAGGTGATTTACCCCAACAGCATAGCGAACTGCATTTCTAAATATTTTATAAATGCCCTCATAGTAAGAAAAATCTATGCCCTTGTAATGTTGCTGTATCAGCCATTGCATCTCTTCTCCCTGTTGTCCTTCTGTTTTTCTGTGATAGCATTTTTGAAACCAGCTAGGGCAATGGAAGCTGCCTAGGGGAGAACAACCCCTTTCTGGTTGGAAGTCTTAAGGGCATTGGATGAACAAGGATTTCCCATCTTCTGTATCAGTTACTGAGATGTTTCTCCATCTTTCAACACTCATCAGGTTGAACTGTGTGTCAAGCTCTGTCAGCATATTTTGGAATACAGAACCAAGTGCTCAGATACAATGTTTAAGTGAGCTCTTAGGTTTTCAAGCCACAACCAACTAACAAGGAAATTTGGGGGATCCTTAGACTCCCAGTTTTGGTTTTGCCTGATGACAGGGGCCATGTCATATACCACTTATTGGTCAGCTTTGCAGTGAATCTGCTTGTCTGGGCAACACTATATACCAAAGGGCATATTTATGGAATTCCTTAATGTCATTGAAGTGTAGGAGTCCAACATTGAAGCAAATATCTCAGACAGTAGTACTTGATGTTGAGAGCTTCAAAGACACCAGAAACCTTTTTCTTGAAAAACATAGTTTCATTCAAAGAATGAGGAATTAGCCCATCTATCTCTATTTTTCTACACCTTTTTGTGAACAGTTTCCAGTTTGTTTATGACAGACAAAAGCATTTTGGGTATTGGAATCTGGTGGCATCGATTGCTCTCTAAATAAAAAAGATAGGAAGGATCTTGGGGAGGGAGATAAAAGATCTCTTACCAGGTTCAAGTAAAACTTGTGAAAAAAGGGAGGAAAACTTGTGTAGCTGTCTTAACTGATCACCGTTTCTGCATCTGCATACTCAAAGAGGGAATCCGTCTCCTGCGTGTCCTCATGCTCCTCCTTCTGCAGTCCCAGCACAGAAAGGGCCACTGTTTTGGAAGTCTTACCTGACGTGAAGGTCAGCCCTCATGACAGATCTGTAGGTGGGAGGCCCTTTCCCCTTCTCCTTTCTACTGGGGCTGTTAATCACATACACTGCCCAGATGGAAACCGTTCTTTAGGGCGTCGATCAGCAGGCAAGTGGTTATTATAGTTATTATAAATCCTTATAAGCAAAAAATAATATTGTACTAGTAAAAAAGGATGATTATTTAGGAATGTCTTCATTATCTTCTCAAAAAGAAGTACAATAAAGCAAGTTTCCTTGAAAGAGGCATGGCAAAGGGCTGTGCTTTACAGGTACCCTTTGAGCTGTTGAAAGGTCAGCCAGAGTAAGAAGACATGATTCAAGAAAACACAGAACAAGTTTAAATAGAGCAACAATAGCTCTTGAAGGAAGTTGGGTTTGAAAATTCTATTGAATGCCAAAGGTAAGGGTATTTCTTAAGTTCTGTCGAAAGCTGGGGTGTGTATTTCAACAATTTAGAAAGTTGTGTGGTATGTGTGTCTATATATCTTTAAGAAGATATCTTCAAGTGAGACTCTCAGTCAGGGGACCTACATGTGCATTAGCACCCGTGACTCAAGACAGCTTAGAAGGTATGAACCTTAGGAAAACAATGTAATAACAGTACTCATTCTTCACTTTAGACTTCACTGGAGGGCTTTAACATAATTGAATGTTTTAATCTGAAGAGTAGCTGTTCAGAGCTGGTTGCCTGTCCTGCTGTGGAGAAAATGGAAGTTCCTATGGGCAGAATCCTCACCTGACCCTAAACTACCTGATGATGTAATTGGCCTGCTGCTAGGCTACTGCTTCCATACCCGTAGGCAATAAGCTATTATTGACTGAGTCACTCTCTAAAGAGCTTTGCCCAGTGCTACAGACAGAGACAGAGACGGAGGTGGATTACACACCTGCAGACCTGATTCTAATGCTTAACCTACCGCCAGGAGAATAAAGCCAAGTATAAACCTTTTTACCCCAAGAACATTCCATTGTGATTCCTCGGTCTCACTGAATCCATAGTGAACTTATTCAGGGCAGAAACTGTCAGGCAAGACACCTGGGTTTGCCTAGGGCCATTATTTCAAATATATTTTAACCGCTGTCAGAGCTCTGCAGTATTGCTGATTTTAAGCCTCTTCTGTTATATTAAATCTTCCTCTCCATGTTCTAAACACACTAAAAATACTGTTCCCCTTCTCCTTCAAAGTCCATGGAGCCCTTACTTTCTTCAGCTTCTCTCATCCAGGGGCAGAAAACCAAACCACTTCTTATATCAGTTCCCTAGACATGTGGGAGGGCTCTTCTGTAAACTTTTCTGAAATATCATTTTAGAAATGACATTCCCAAGGACCAGTTTGCCCAATTTGCTTACATCTGTGTCTTACGAGGTTTCAAATTGATCAGATGACTGTTTTTTTAATGAAAATAAAAAGTTCAAAACATACATCCTTTAAAATCTCTGTGTTCTGAATGTTTTGACCAAAAAAGCCCAATAAGCCAAGGGTGTGTTTGTGTGTGTATGTGTGTGTATGTTTAGTGGGATGCTAAAACAAAAGCAGTCTGTTTTCTTTAAAACATCAAGGTAACGCTTTGGTTATGGATACAGACAAGGCTGATCCACTGGCCTTTCGTGACCAGACATTGACCAGCAAAGTGAAGGTTGCTTATCACACTCTCATGGGCTTGATGGGGCTCCTTGCCTAAGGATAGAAGAATCAGACTCTCCAGAAATATTAGTATTTTTCATATCCATTTATCTATATTTACAATGCCTTTTCT